AGGACAACTGCACATTTTCCCGTTCGGTGTCCAGTTAAATTGATAATGCTTTTTCAGCTTTCCTTGCGGTATGATTTAAACTTGATGGTATCGTTAAATGCGCACTAGTACAAAGCGGCCGGCCGTTAAAAGGTTTTTTTTAAGTTGAGCTTTATGTATTGAGATTTCCCACATAGAGAATGTAAAGTATTAATCCATTTTGGATTACGTAGAATCAACGATAGCACATGTGAGGCACTTGAGGTAACGCAAGTTCTTCTAATCTGCCATAAACAGACAGCAATATCGGCACAAATTTATAGCCCTTATAAGAACTCTTTCTTGTAGATAAAATGTACCAGACAATCGAAAATGTTACGATTCAGGCATTCTTCATTCTGCAGGATAAAATATACACTTTATTAATCTCAAGTATCAATTCAGATGTACAAACATTAAAACGCTTGTGAGAGTGCTGTTAGTGACAAAGATTTATTGTATCACATCAAAAAATTTTATCCCAATTTTGGTGGATCTTAGTTTCGCGTCGTTGCTCAAGGAAATATAATTCTACAATTAAGAGCTTTTTTGGTCAAAAATGTGCTTAAAATATTTGGAGGTCCCGGCTACGCCAGGCTGATTTTCAGTGGTTTGAATATTCCTTGTCTAAAAGTTTAGTTTAAAGGTCTTCAGTGTAAATATTGCATTATAGTAATCTAGGCTGCAAAAAAAACTTCTTACTTTTCTTATCTATCACAATACTTGTTCACTTTTTTCCAGCACTCCAGAGTGAGAAGTACGAAAAAAATCAGTCAATTAGGTCAACTAAAACTACGATCAGTTATCAAATCAATCGGCATATCACGTAGCCTCAGTAAAAGAATACAGTAGATTACAATATAACATACGTAAATCCAACCATACTGGGGAAAAAGTGCTGGTTTGTAATTACAAGCTTAGGCCAACTTTTCGTATGCATAGAAAAAGAGTGCTTGAAAACAAATTGTTGTCTAACTGTTGTAGGGACTGTGTTTAGTCATGTTGTAACTTGTTCTGTCCTTGTATTTTCCCAGTGCTATATGTGATAGTCAAGATAGCGGGATATACACCTCATCCCATATTGTTCATCCAGTCTCATTCTGTAGGTGACGCTACTCGAGCCAGGTGGCCTCTTAGCTTTGTGTGAATAAACCATTCACCATCAAGGCGTTCCAC